TTTCCCGTTCCGCCTTAAATTCTAACTGAGGCGCCGAATGTAAATGCGGCACCATTTAAGGTGGAACGGGAGAATTTGAAAGAGAAGCTGACTTCAGCTACGCCACTTTTTAGTGTTTGACAGTCTCTCGTTGCAGATTTAACGTACCAGGAAACCAACTGCAGTGCTTATAAATGCGAATAACGCATCGCTGCTATGTGACCTGCAGTCTGCACGCCGGTTCTCAGTCGATGCGAAACAGGGCTTTCGCGCTATGTTTCACACGTCCCGTCTCAAAGATACTTTAGTGACACAGCGACCCCGTCTCTACAACGAGACCAAAACCAAAGTTATAAAATCACTAAAGAAAACGGGTAGAATAGCTGTAACATGTGCTGTGTGGACATCCATCACCACTGGATCTTATTTCACTGTAACTGCGCATTTTATCGCAGATGAGTAGCAGCAGCTTCTTGTGCTCCAAACAAGAGCACTGAATGAGAGCCTTCCAGTTCACTTGCCACATCACTTCCATTTGTTTTATTAATAAAAGATATTGGAAGGATGGATCATTACAAATACTTTGCTTTAAAAGTACCAAGTCACTTTAAATAACAACAACACAGAGTTACTAAAATGTATATTGTCTCTACATTCTGTATATATTTTGTGTATATTTTATGTATATTTAATATATTTCAGTTGGTTTTTCTTGTATTTTTATTTTTACTTATTTACTTTCTGTAGAGTGATTAGCTGAGCCTCACCACAAGCATTTCAATGCATAAATGTACTGACATGTTGTGCAAGTGACAAATAAACTTGAAACTTGAACTCGAAACTTGAGCTCACACAGTGAGAAAATATAAATGCTATATGGAAAAAAGATGCATCGAGATGCATCGATAATTGTTTTATAATCGCATCGCAGCCCTCTGAATCGTAATCGAATCGTGAGGTGCCTAGAGATTCCCACCCCTACTATATATATTAATATATACTAGTATAATCCAATTTATATTTTTTATTTGGATATTATAGATCCTGGAACAGCAGACCCTGTTTTGCACTTGACCTCTGTGGAACAGAGCTTTAAGCATATCTGAAACTTATTCAATATGATATGGCCTACAGGAGGTACAGTAAAAGTCTATGAAAAGCTTTAAAACATTCTTCGGCACATTCACTGGTCTAGCAAGAAAATGCAGCTGAGGATTCCTCTCTGACTCAACCAGCTACCTTTTAGTCTGTCTTCTCTACTTTCATTCTGCCTCTGTAAACTTTTTCAATATAATTTTTGTAACAATAAATCAAGAAGTCACCAAACAATGATGCCAGAGGGATGAAAATAAATACTAAATGACAAGCATCCTTGTAGTAAGTATTCATGAGAGTTACATTTAGTCTGCATCACTCAATGAGCACTACAGCATGAAACATATTTTTCCCACTTTACCTGTCATCTCATTTTTTGCTAAACTAAGTTAGAACTAACCTTTTATAGGTCACGTTGCATCATCTTTGAGGCATCATCTTTGATGCAATGTGACAGAGTAATCTTGCCTGCCCGTTAGCTTAAAGGGGACCAGTCATGCTGTCAAAAGATCCGGATCAATTGTCCAGCCCTCTCAGTATAAAGCTCACAGCACTTTGTTGTTAAGACCTAGATATATTGTTATTGTTACTACTTTACTCCAGTACTTATTATGCATGTTCCAGAGGTCCACTGTGTAGTTTCAGTTGCTGGGCTCATAGCTATGTCTGCTCTCTTTGTGATAACACATGTAACGTTGCTAAATTTGCTTTATATACAGCCCTTCAAAAAGTTCTGTATTTCTATTGTATTTCAACTTCAACTAAAAATGATGTTTTGAAGCAAAGCAATGTCTTTTTGGCAGAAATAACACAGTGGTTTTCATTTGTTAGGTGCATAGAGGCATAGCCAAGGGGTGGGCAGAGGTGGCCAATGCCACCCTAGCGTGAGATATGGCCACCCTTCTGGCAACCCCAACTACAGAAAGTGAGACAATCACACATGATCAGTCAGCCACCATCAATAAACCATTAATTACAACTTATGGTGAAAACCTGCCAGGTTAGTTACCAATGAGTTATACGAGTATGGTGACACTGCATTTGATGATTTGCGTATTTTGTTGTGATAGGCTAATTTGCTCAGCAAACAGTCAAGTGAACGTGCCCTGGGTCCCTTCAGCAGTGCTGCTCTGTGAGCAACTTTATGAAATATGCGATAATAAGTTCATTACCAGAAATTAGTCAACTATAATCGTTTATCATGCTAACTAACTTCTTTTTACAGATAAATACATGCATGTGTTGTAGGTTACCTTATACAGTGTTATCTGGCTAGCTTTCTAATCATTAGACTCATATACAGCAAGAACAGCCTTCATGAATTACTTCTGTGGCCTGTCTGTATTAAATGTTATTCTAAAAGTTAACGCTGTGCACAAAAAAAGTAAAGCATTTAATTAACTTGATTCAAATGCAAAATTTCCTTGTGAATGACTAAAATACATTATATCAACAGATATTTGCCTGTCAGTTTATATAATAGCTGTATTTATGTTTTTTTTTTTAACAGAAATTATGGATAGATGTAGAAATTTAACAGAAATTAAGTATAGAGAAAAAGCAATGCATCACTTTTTATGTCATTGCCATACAGTGACAATATTTTATTTAGCTTTTTCCTAGCAGTGTGCCACCCCTATAAAATCACTTGGCCTTACTTAGCCACCCGATTCTAAAAGTTCTAGCTACGCCCCTGTAGGTGTTGTGGGAGCCGAATACTACGCAGAACCCCTAATCACTACGTTGTTTGTTCTGAGACCTCCCTTAAATGTGAACAGTCCACTGGGCAAAGCAGGCTTTAGCAGTGCTGATAAGTGCACTAAGTTGTTTTCAAGCACACTTATGACATCATATTTCGAGATAGTTTCGATCATTCTTTCACTGTTCACTGGCTTAAGGCTGCCATTGTTAGTGGATAGGAGTGACAGCCCTCCCTCTGTTTGGTATAGGACCAATGATGTCACTGTTACGCTTTTTCTTCGCTTTTTTCCTCTGAATTGGCTTTGACAGTAAAGACTGCATTTTTGTTCAAAGCTCAGACAGGACACAGCACTTTCTGATATTAAAAAATAGTCAAACATGACTGCACCCCTTTTAACGGTTATCGTGGTTTTATTCTGTGAAACACTCTAAAGTGATATTCATTGGCTTTATATACTCCTCCATGAAATTTTATAGCCTATTAAATTTGACTTACTGATGTGCAGCAGGTTAAAAAACTATTTGTAGTCTGATTCGTCCTAAATTGAGACCTCCTGGTTGAGTTCTGCATAATTAATTGGTTAACATGTCAACAAAATCACTCAGAGTGGTTTGGTGTGAAATGCTTCATTCTAGGCAAACTTACCAAGTAAGAATCATTCACAGTGCTAAGGGGCAATTCAATGCACAGGGTTACCTGGGTATAATAATTCAGGCCTTCTGATTGGTCTTTTTTTATGAGATTTGTATATTCCCCAAACCAAATACCCAGACTGATCACAGGCTGAAATGGGCTTTGTGAAAATGTCAAAGCAAACATCTAACATCACTTGTAGAGTGCATCAAATGTAGAGCGAGTATCGACTATAAACATTTTTCATGCCCGCCGTGGCAGTATGCTTTAGCTGCAATGATTAGGTTTAGGCTTTTAAGTTTGCTGTGTTGTTTTTTGCCTGATTTTACTTGTCATGTCATGTTCTTTGTGTCCACATGTTTGGAAGTTGTGTTTGACAACTTGTGCTACCCACTTTTTCACAGATCTAGCCAAAAATTGATTTCTGCCTAGGCCACTGGATCAAACGACACACTACAGCTTCTCATAGATATCGACTGTTTTGGTGATTGATGGTTTTATAGAATAAACTGTACCACACACCACTGGAGAAGTGTCACACAACAGATTGGACGGGGTGCAGCTAGCACATACAGGTGCAAGTTGAAGTTCATATCAAGTTCAGTGCAAATTTCAAAGCTTCACCAACTATGGCTTTTAGTGGTCTGGTTCTGGGTTTAGGTTGGGTAAGGCTGAAACTGGTGTCCCATTCCAGCTTCTTATTCAAAATTTCCGTTCCACCTTAAGTGGTGCAGAAGTTACAGGCAGCAGAATGCAAGTGAAGCACCATTTAAAGTGGAGTGGAAAATTTGAAAAAGAACCTGGCAGATAAGAAGCTAACGAAGTTTTTAGTCTAAGATACAGAAAAAAATATTTCAATCCATTCATGGTGCAGGGATACATGAAGGGTGTTCTAAGGTAAAATAGTCCCCAAAGAAAACTTATTTTTTCAGATTGACCATTATTTTACAATCATATATAAGCTCAAAAGTTATATGTATGTTCACTGGTGATTCTGGACATGAATAAACTGACTATATATGCATTGCATACATTGGGCTCTTGGGTCCTATCACCACCACTGTAGAGATATATGAATTGGTAAGTTTCTCTACAAACAAACCATTTCACTTAAAAAAATCTAAATGACTTTGTTTATATCTCAACCACTGAACTCTGCAGAAATTTTGAAAATTTGGAAAAGGTGGAATTCCCCTTTAGCCGTTGTAACAGGCATGTGGTTGGTGGAAAGTATTACGTTTGTCACGTTCTGTAAGCATTTTCGTTTTCATTAACTACTGCACTAGTGCTTTTCATAGACAATGAAAGTCCACGCAGATGAGAAAAGTAAACCCGATTTCAGGTTTCATTCCAATATCAAGCCTGTAGACCTTACTAAAGCAAAACGCCCCAGCCTGACATCAAATCAATAAAGAGAAGAAGACTATTATCTTAGTTCCACCTAATTCGGTGTAAGCCTTGCCTACATGATCACTACGTGCTGTGTGCCACCTCAGAAATGACAGCGTCAAGCACACAGGTTCAACTCTCAGTGAGCTGAAACAGAAACGGCAAGTCATGGCGACGACAGTGAAGCCTGAATCCTTCCTACCTGTGAGAAGAAAGCATGTCGAGAAGCACGCTAACCGAAGAGCGCTGAGGGTCATGTTTTAAAAACTGTTCAGAATGACAGACAGTCCACAAGACACTGTGAAAGAGTCGAAAATGAAAGCTTCATCTGAAGAGTGCGGGATTAAAACACCCAGGAAACCCAGAAGTCACGTCGCCACGCCCAGTCAATAAAGCCTGTGATGAAACAAAGATGAAACAACACCATCAAGCGTAAGAGTCAGCTCACACTGTCTACTCGGAGAGAAGAGGGGGTTTCACAGTTTTAGAAGTACACGGCCATATAAGGCTGGGGTTAGGTAAATCTAGTCTGTACGAGTTCCCCAGAAGTTCTTGCCAAAATCTACTTTTCACGTTTAGTGGTTCACGTTAAATTCTCCTGTCGCGCGCACGCTGCACGTGCACAGACGAAACAAATATCGACTTACGTGAGAAACGAGTCAAAAAAGCCCAGGCAGCGGTCAGGCGGTTTGATAAGGTCTGCACCCCGCTGACTATATGTCACTGCTGGTCCACCAGCCAGATTATTGTGAAAATTCAGGAGCTGTGGCGGGGCTCAGCCCACTTCACTGTTTTGGAACATCGACCCCCCGGAATTGTTTATAATTAACCTGAAAATGTGCAGTTGCTACTTTGATATGAAGATGTACACATCAACAAAACGTGCACCGATTTAGCAACGGTTATTGGGTCTTATAAACAATATCATTAAACAAAAGAAACTACTGGAATAGAAAGTGGAAAAAACGTGTCAAAAACAGATGTTTTCTCAGTTATGCCGTTACGCCAGTATCGGCACATTTTCTCTCTTTCTCCACATCAGTCTCTTCCACACGTCTCCTCTCTAATGTCCTGCTAACGGAGGAATGTTTTTTCATGTTATTTTATAATGTTATATGTACAAATACTGTATTTTTACAGATATTTTCACGTCAATTATTTGTGCTGTTATGGTTACTGAAAATTACACTATTTACTTTTGGAAGAAAGTAAAAGGGAAAAAGGGGTATGATCTATGACATAATTAGAAAAATACGTTTGACATGTAATATAGAATGACGTTAAGTACATATTACCAAAAAAGTAGTAATAAAAAGCTAAAGCAAAACAAACAAACAAACAAAAAAAACTGATTTTAAAAATCTGGTGGGCATGTCCCGCCTACAACCCCCCACGCCCCCACAGCTTGAATAGTATTTCACAGATTTCAGGCCTCTTCTCCCTTGTTCTCCCCCTCTGTCTGATTACGTTCGTGTGTGAATTTAACTGTGAGTGAGGGACTGTTTAGGTGTTTAACTGTCTTATAGTAAATAAATAAAAGTAAATGTCTTAAAGTAAATACATTGCTGATACTGTATTACCAGTGGAATATATATTATAGTACATAAAAATCAAAATGTTTATGGTTTCAGTGGCAGAAATGTTCTACTGACCTCAGTGAATGTCTCCAGTTTGGAAGCTGTAAATAAGCTAAACTGTCTCCAAAGGTTCACATCTACGATAAAAGCCACGTCGGGTGCGGCTTTCTTTTTTTAGATTCGCTAATCTGTGACGATTCCCAAAATAGGGACCGTCTTGTCACCCCTCGAAAAACTAGATATGGCTTATACACGCCCAGTCTCCAAAGCCCCCGCCTCCGCCACCACGTACAGCAACACTTTCCACTGTCGTTGTAAATTTACAGCCTGGTATCTGCAGCTTACCACAACGCGTTAATCACACAGCGGAGATATCAATATCAGGTTTTCAGGCGAATGTGGAGAGTTTCTAAGGCTGCACTCACATTGTACATTTGAGAAGTAGAAGACAGCTATAGATAACCATCTGTAGAGCTTCCGGTTTTGTCCATTATACGCAAGACAGCTGTTCAAGGATGCTTTAGTAAAGGCAATGGTTCTATTTAGAAGCATGAGTTGTATGTATAACCATTTTATCCTTAAAGCTTTCTTTGCATGGTGAAATGGTTCTTCAGATTGATGGAGAATGTGTTGTATATGGTTCTATATAGAAACGTTTTGAAAATGGTTCTGTGTAGCACCAAAAGGCGTTCTTCTCTTGTTACAAGCTTGACATCGTAACAATAGCAGAACCCTTTTTTGTGGTGCATAGAACCATTTCAAAAAGCTTCTATATAGAAACATAACACATTCTCCATCAATCTGAAGAACCATTTCACCATGCAAAGAACAGTTTAAGGGAGGAAATGATTCTATACAGAGCTTGCCTGCACTGACCCTTGAAGCAGCATCTTTTTAAGTGTGTGGTTCAATGCTCCCTGTAGCCAACTGCAGTAAATAAAAGCATCTTAACAGATGAAACAGACGGAGGAGTCTGCAAAAATACTTTCACTTTGAGCAGTCTAGGACAGCCAGAATGAGTCCTGAATGAAAACTGTTCTTCCACAGTTTATTTTGGTTTCATTATTTTTCCCAAGCCTAACAGAGCATCTTCAGAAACAGTCAAAACATGACCATGAAGGTTGAGTTTGTAATAACTATTCATTTAACATATATTACAATTGCAAAAATTTATCACTGTTCCAAGAGACTAAACAAGAGTCCATTTTACCTGAGATGTGCAAATACAGAGTCTAAAGCCTACTCAAACTGCATTGTCCAAAAATACAACAGCAGTTTTGTTTTTGTTTGCAAATCACTGATATGACTGGCAAGAAATATTGTTGCCCCCGAACTCTAATAATAACACAATCAAGTTAGTTAAGGGTTTCTGATGTGTTAACTTGTTTTTCTCATTCTTTTTGGTTGGCTAAAATATTATCTTTACAACCACTATAAATTTAAATTTTGAATGGCTGTGATAGCTGGACTTGGTAAGTCGCCTTGCAGGCCTACTCTTTTTTTATACATAGACTCCTCTTTAGATTTGATGGATTGTGCAAATAACTATTGGTGGAACTTCAGTAGTTCTAGGGTTAAATACACAAGAGTTGCTGCTGAACCAATACACAACTTCTAGCTCAGTAGCTAGCTCTGTCCAAACAGTGCAAAAGCATCCCTATTAATACAGCCCATAACAGAATTTATTCTGTCAATATTAGACATTCAGAAAGAATAGTAACATGCACAGCATGTTTACGATTTACCCACTGATTTTCAATTTATCAGCTGACTGCATTGAGGTTGTTTCCAGAATTTGCTGACATTCATCCATACTTCCATCTACCTGAGCTTAATGTTACTTCATCAGTCTTTGCAGTTGTTTCAAAAATGCCTCTGGCATACTTCAGACAATGACGTTTGTAATGAGGTCACAGATAAGGTTTTCATCTGATGACTCTTTCATGCAGATCATGTTTGCACAAGCATCATTGCACAATAGATCATTGCACCACCAATCTGTCAGCTAAACCTGCAGTTACTTGGCTGTCATATGGGGGTTTTGATTTGCCTTTCCGGTCAGCATACAAGCAGTTATCTCTGAGAGTTTTCTTGGTCTTCTTGCCGTCTGCAGTTCCTATTAACTCTCATTTTTTAATGACATTTCAGGAAGTGAAAATTGCAAGCTAGAAGTACTTTCATACCTTTTTTTATAGTCTTCCTCTGCTTTGTAGGCATTAAATAGCTTCATTTCAGATCCTCAGCCAGCTTAGAGGTGGTGCTTAGAGCTGCTTACAGGTCAACAACATGGTTGCTGAGTGTTAGCACAAAGTTTGAAGAGTTCAAAGAATTAAGTACACTCTGCAGCTGACATCAGCTGACAATTCCTAATGACAATTGTTGACCTGCTAAAACAGTCATTATAAAACAGTGAAGACTAAAAGTTCTGGAACGGTGGCCAAATTTTTGATCATGCCACATTTGTTTTTTAAATTTTGTAATTTTACAAGTGCTCAAAATGACCTCCAGCTGTACGGGCAACATCAACGCGATCAAATTCAAATTCATCCCACACTCGAATGAGCATGTTGGATGTCACTGTACTGAAGTAAAAATAGAATTTAGGGCTCAAACATAACTTCAGTTTTCATTATAATGCTCTGTGAATCCACGATCACCAAGTCTTTTCACAGTAACCTACATTCACCATTCTCCACTCTTTGTGCAAGATCTTGATATGAATGTAACCCAGCCTGGATAAATATTTAAGAGCAAAATATTTTTTATGCTTTGTCAGATATATTACTCAGATTTATACCCGTTACTAATCAGTTTACCAGCTCTTATTTAGTCTACCTCCTGAGTCAGACTTGATAATTTGACAGATGTTGTGTGTAAACACTATGGCAACAGGAAGATTTGTATGTAGCCTAAAAGGCTTTTTATAAGGAGGAAAAAGCTGATTGCACTACTGTAGCACTAGCAGAAAGAAGGAAACTCTGACAATGATTAATCCACACAAAACTGGAATTTGCCCTGTATTCATGTGCCCTGTCCACCTATTCAAACTGGTACACGAACAAAATGAATCGCAGAATCTGCCTGAAAATCAATATATGCTGTTTACTAAAATGACAAACATGATTAACATGAACAGCAATCTACATTTGGTGGTCTACATAGTAAGATTGCTCATCTATTTCAAATAGAAACACTTAATATAGTCTCTGATTTAGGGGGGTTATAGGGTTTATGCGCTGAGGATGGCACAGGCCAGATTACAGGTACTGATTTCTTGCAGGCAGCATAATGATAAGCATTCATGTATTTTTTTTCCCTTTCATCATTTATTATTATTTTATTTATTTATTTATTTATTTATTTATTAAAACATAGGATATGCACTGTCTTTTTTATTATAGATTTGTTAGTCTGTGTATAATTCCTGTTTCTTGTTCACAAAATTAAAAAAATTGTGAGGTTTAAGCATAATTGGCACTGCACATTGCATTGCAACTCATCCTCTTCCTGAAATCATAATGACCTTTTTACCTTGTTAGGTTATGTCTGTGGTCATATAAACAAAGCATGGTAAGCATATTGTCTTCCTGTAATCTTTGAACAAAGATTTGAAGACCTCTCTGGTGGAAAGGTATAATTGCATACAATGTACACTCTAAATTGCAAGCACACTGAAACTGAGTATTCAAAGAGAACTCGGTCAAACTTGGAGAATGATGGATCCTGAGAATGGAAGTAAACGATATACTACTATCATTAAATTTTCATCAGTACACTTTCAGAAATAAAGGTATGAAACTGGGTAATACCCCTCTTGTTACTGGGGTGGTACCCTCATGGGTACATCTCAGTACCTTTAGTCAGGGAACATAATTGTACCATAATCCATTGAAATTATATTTAATAAGTTACATTCACTCCACACGCCTTGTCTTGTCTGCAGGCTTTTTGTTTTATGGTTCTGTTTCAAAACATTAGGCTATGAAAAGGTACAAATATGTACTTTTCACCTGGAAAAACTTATTTAAGGTACATAGTCGGGCCTTAAAACCTCTGTTGTACTTTTGAGGGTACATTTACATTGTTTGTACTCTGGTGAATGAAAAATGTACCTGCACAGTATCTTTATTTAGTGTATAACCCTGATTTTGCATAAGACCTACATCAAGTCGGACCTTGTTTTGTCTTTTT